TAACCTAAACATCTGTACCCCCATAATATGCTGAAATAAAAAAAAAGAAAAGAACAAAGAAAGATTTTCACTTTTATATACAAACCATAGCATTCTCCCTCAGAGTAGATGATCGTCTTTTTTTGTGCAATGGGATAAACACCTCTTCCACTGAGTTGGGGCCATATCTTTTTAAATTTGCTGTGCAGTTCATTTCTGGAACTAAGCCTTCATGTTCTGTAAAGCAACATATAAAAAAGTTACTTCACACACTTACTACCTTAACAACCTTAACAGGGACATGCTCTCAGAATGCCACCTCAAATTGGAGTTCTGGTTGAATTTCAGAGAGTGACAAAACAAGAATTCTTTCATTAGTGATTCAGAGTAAGTCTTTTTAAACTGAAGGGCTATACTGCCCATGACTAGGAATAAGAATCAAACCAATTCCAAAGTGTAAAGTGAATGCTTAGTAACTTAAAGTTAACGAACAAGAGAATACGATGGCAGTTTTTGTAAAGGAGCTTAAAATGGCTCTTTACTTAGGGAGGCAGCATGCCTCCAAAATGTAATCCGGGAATCTACTCCAGATCCGGCCCCATCTCTTTGCGGACTGGGCAGACCACTATAGACACCGCCGCCCAATCTGCCAGGTGAAAACCAGTTGAGATTATCTGTAATGTCCATGTCAGTTCTAAAGTTATAATTGCCTTATTAGTTAGGAGTTTGTTTTGGTTTGGTTTTTTTAGAGACAGAGTCTCACTCTGTTACCCAGGCTAGAGTGCAGTGGCGTCGTCGTAGCTCACTGAAACCTCAAACTCCTGGCCTCAAGCCATCCTCCCACCTCAGCCTTCGAATGTGTTGCGATTACAGGTGTGAGCCACTGTGCCCAGCCTTATTAGCTAAATTTCATATTAAACCTAAATAAATGGATGTGAAATGTAAGCCAAACAATCCAGAATTAGGAAGGTTCCATTACGGCTCTGAGTCATTTAACTGTGGAACTAGAAAAAGACATTGAATGCAACAATATCAGAGTATGTCTTGTACTAGAGATTTGCTTTGAACGCCTGCATCACAGTTACTGGGAGGGACACGTTAATGAAAGAGTTAATTCACTTTATCCACCCTAAGCCAGAGCAGTAATGAGAGGCACAATTAAGGGACTCAGGTTTCATCTCTTTTCTGTTTCCCTTTCATTCTGTGGTGGACATATAATGACCACAGGCCCAAAAGAGGATAAAGAAGATGGGAGAATTAATACAGACTAATATATAAAAATGTTAAGTCATAAAATATGTCCAATTTGAGCTCTACCTTCAACCAAATTTTATTTTTAAATTCCTTGGGTTTTTTTTTCTGACTATAAAACTAACACAAGCTATGATTAATTAAATTGTGGTATATTCATATAAATGAACTACACAGCAGTGAGAATAAACCAACTACTACTACACACAGCAAGGATAAATCTCACAATCATAACCTTAAGTTAAAGGAGGCAGACACCAGCCAGGCACAGTGGCACACGCCTGTAGTCCCAGCTACTCCTGAGGCTAAGATGGGAGGACTCCTTGAGCCCAGGAGTTCAAGGCCATAATGTGTTATGATGGCCCCTGTGAAAAGCCACTGAACTCCAGCCTGGGCAACATAGCAAGACCCTGTCTCCAAAAAAAAAAAAGCCCGATGCAAGAGAGTATAGTATATGATTCAATTGATATAAAACTCAAAAATAGGCAAAAGTAACCTATGGTGGGAAAAGTCAGGATAGTGGTTACCTTGCAAAGGGAATAGTGACTGAAAGCAGGGGTGGATTCTGGGGAGCTCTTAACCTTCTATTTCTTGGGCTGGGTGCATGAATTAATTTGAAAATTATTTAAGCTGTATATTAATAATGTGTGCGTATTTTTGTGTGTATTGATAACAGACTTCTGTAAAAAGTTCACCTATTGTACACACCACCCAGGATGCCAAAAAAAGAAAAAGTTCACCTAAAGGATTTCAGCTTCTTAAATAAACAGAGAAAGTAATCCATCAGCAATAAATATCATAACGTTTAGATATATTTTCTTCTCTTTTTCTTACTCCATATATATTTTATATAGTTTGAATCATACTGTACACATATTCTGAGCAATTTTATATGTCAATTATGGTTTTTAAAATATTTTACGGCCAGGCACAGTGGCTCATGCCTGTAATCTCAACACTTTGGGAGGCGGAGGCAGGAGAATTGTTTGAGGCCAGGAGTTTGAGACCAGCCTGGGCAGCATAGCAAGACCCTGTCTCTACAAAATTTTAAAAAATTGAAAATAATTACTTGGCTACCTTTCCTAAAATGTCCTATTCTGAGTTTTTTCTACCTGTTAGATAGATAAAAGAGATCAGACTATAAGCACTGCTCTGCAACCTCCTTTTATTGCTAAACATGCATTGGTCTTTCCAAACCAATGCCTTTAGATATATTGCAGTCAATTTAAAAACTCCTTAGTTTTCTGTTATGTAGATAAGCCATAATTTATTTGATCAGTCCCTGATTCATGGATGTTCAAGTTACTTATAAAGTTTTTCTCTTGCAAAGAATGCTGTTAAACAGTCTTGCACTTCTGCAAGTCATTCTATGAGGCAAATTCCTAGAATTAGAAATAATGGGTTGGTAGCACATTTGAAAATTCTCCTCTGGTTCTTTCCCACTAACGAGGGCCGTTGGAGTCAGACAGATGTTCTATAACACACCAAGGAAGTAGTCTGCTGGCCCTGCATATAGTTTTAAAACCAGAAAAGATAAGTGGTATCAAATGACTTATTGGCATCAGTTAGATCAGGGTCAGCAAACCACAACTGTGGACCAAATCCATCCTGCCACCTGTTTTTATGTATCCCACAAGCTAAGAATGTTGGGGTTTTTTTTTATATTTCTAAATTATTGGAGAAAAAAATATTTCATAAAATGGAAAAATTATAGGAAATTCAAATTTCCGTATCCATAAAGTTTTACTGAAACACAGCCATGACCATCTGTTTACATATCACCTGCTTTCATGCTACAATGGCAGAGTTAAGATAGAGACCTTATGGCCTGCAAAGCTTAAAATATTTACTATCTGGCCCCTTACAGAAAAGGTTTGCCAACCTCCAACCTAAACAGTAACATTTCAATGTTTTAAAGAGTAGGAAACCCAATTCTCTAAGCAAAGGGTAAAGAACAAATTGTCATATAGCTACAGAAGAAATATTCCAAGTGGTTAATGTCTCTAAGTTCTCTGTACAAGTAAGGATATGAATAGTCTCACATTTCTTTCAATGCTGTGGTGGGGAAACAAACATTCGAAGAACAAGTAGCTACAGCAGTTCTGGTTGCAAGACTCCATTTTCTATGGACTCTTTTGGGTACTAATGTAAGTAGAATTGTGTTTTTAATTTCAAATTCCAATTGTTTATTGCTTGTATGTAGTAAAGTGATTAATTTTCGTATATTAACCTTGTATGCTGCAACCTTGCTATAATCACATATTAGTTCCAGATTTTTGTTGATTCTTTAAGACTTTCTACATAGATAATCATGTCATCTGCTCCATGGACTCTTGACCCAAGCTGCTTTTCCTATAAGTTCAGTTTTAGCTTTTCACTTTTGCTTTGCCACCACATAGTTATAGTTGCCAGATATAAATAATTCTTCATAGACAGAAAATATATTCTCCCCGATGCCTTCTGAGACTGTTCCCCATAGAGTAAGAAGGGAAAAGGAGATGTGGCAAAGCTTAAGTGAAGGGAAAATGCAAGCATAAGTAAACACTATAGTATTACCACAAAGCATGGTGCTCTGGTAATAACTAATTAATGTAAAGGTTATAGGAATATTTAAGCAATTTACTGGAAATGGAGACCAGAGAGCAAAATTTTGTCCAGGAGGAAATTTAGCAAAATTACCATTTGACACTTGGGATGAAACCTCAATGTTACCACTGCTGTCTTGAAAATCTGTTTGTATGGTCACCAGGTCATCAGTGAGAAATGCGTCCTGAGTAACTTCTCTGTCAGAAGCTTCAGCTGTCACATAATGATCATCATTGCTGCCTCCATCACTGTCATCTTCAATAGTTACAACAATGAAATCTAAGAATAAGCAAAGAGAAAGTTTAGATTAAATAAAGTTTCTAGAGGAAACTACCTTATAAAGTTACGGATTGTTTAAAAAACTTTTGAGCTGAAAAAATCGTATTAAGTATTTTGATATCTGTAATCATTACAAGTTAGCTAACGAATCAATTGCTGAGTAAGAAGCTTTGAAATATATATGTATGTATACACACACATAGATCATTATTTCTAGTACTTCCAATTTTGTAAGAACAATAAATTTCTTCTCATGTAAGACACGTGGCCACCTGGCCCATGCTACAGTATGTTCAATGATATGCTTTTAACTTAAATGATGCAACTGGTGTTACATAGCCACACATGTGGTGACCATGAATTTCCAAACTTGTTCTCTAAAAATTAATATTCATATTTATGACAAATGATAGGGCGGAAATAAAGTACAAAAGTAAATGTTGTTATGAAACAAATTGAATCTCACAAAATGTGAAATAGGTAACCACAAATAAACTAGGTGTGAAATATCAACTCCATAAACCATTTTAATGAATATTAAAAACAACCCATCATGCAAAATGCCTGATATTAAAATGGGCTTTCTTATTTCTTAAAGTTGGCCTGAAAAAGAAAATGTGTAAGCTTGAGGTATTTACTCACAGATCACATTATATTGTATCATAACTTGGATTCACTATATTGATTTCAAATAGACCAAAGCATAAGAATAAAGTAATTAGCTAGTGTAAGGGGCACATGGTAAAATGAAAATGGTACTAAATTAGGAATCACACAATGAGGGGTTCCAATTTAGGCTCTGAAGTTATCCAGAGGTATGACCTTTGGGCAAAATACATTGACTCTTTTGCCTCTGTTTTCTCATCCTTAAAACATGGGATTGGGTATGAAGAGTCACTCTGAACTCTACTGAATAGTCTTCACAAGGAGAAAAATAGAACATTGGAAACTACCTAATTATCTAAACAAAAGGGATAAATAAACAAAAGGTTAAATAAATTAGGGTATTTCCCTAAACGAAATGGTATATAGCCAATGAGCAGAAGCATGTTCTCAAAGAAAATTTACTGATATTAGAAATGCTTGTGAAATAATGTTAAAAGGAGGGGAAAGGATTCAAAACAGAAAAATACAGTCTAATCCTAACTTTGAGAGTCGAAAGTAACATAACCAATGGTTATCTAGGTGGCTATCTCTGAGTAGCAAAATTATCTTCATTAGACTTCTCTGTTGATTCTCTACAATAAACTTTAGACCATCTCATCAGAAAACAATAACAAAGGTAATCGAAAATTTATTAAGATGAACTTTTGTGTATCAACAAACTAAAGCTAGTAAAGCTATTGACAACTCCACCAAGGTCTCTCAGTAAATATGTACAATTCTTATTAATTCTTTTAGGTATACACATAACCTTCCTAATCAAATTTTAAAAGACATTGTACCATTTATTAGTTTTTTGACGATTAAGCTCCCAAGGTGCAAGGCATTCACTTGCCATCAATTTATCAGATAATGATGAAGGCCGAAAACTGCATTTCGCCCCAGGACCACCTGACGGAATACACAGCAAAACAGTGCAGATTACAACAGCTGGAGCGCTCCAATTTTGTTTAAAGTGACCAATCACTTTCTAAATCTTCTGGCAAGACTCTCAAAGGCAGACCTTCCATTGTCCGTATTAAACTTTAGAGACACCAAAGTCCGCCAGATGGTGGATAACGAGGCCAAAATTGTATCCCATCACCCAGCACTTGCTGCCGGCCAGAGAAGGGAGGCTCAAAACTGCATCTAGCCCATATTCTGCTGTATAAAACACTATACAGAAAAGTTGCCTGGAAAATTACCGTCCGTAAACCTTAAACCAGTTAACCACTTCACGTTATAAAAGAGCAGCCCCAACTCGGGCAGAGCCGGGTAGGAGGGAGGGAAGCGATTCCCCACAGACTAAAGCAGAGCCTTTTCTATCAAACAACCAGACTTCGGGCAGGCTGGGCTCTTGAGCGGGAACAAACGGGCTCCCCTGCTTTGCAGGGATTCCCACATTTTGCAGTATTTCCTGACAACGGCATCTGCCCTCTTGAAGCAAAGAGCAGGCTCCATACCCAGGGACTTCTGCACAACACCCCTACATCTTTTTTTTCTTCCCCTTCCTTTATGTATTTACAATAAAACAGCGAGGCTGCTCTGTCTGTCTTTGATCAAACCCGGTTACCATCAAAGCCTCAAAATCTACATCTCAATCTCACAAGATTTTATATGAATCAACTCGTGAGTTTGTCCATTCTTTAAACAAACCTCTGTAAAAGCCTGAGAGTCTGGGTCCTTCCTCGCCCTCCCACCCGCCTCCACCGAGAAAGGCTGAAAAAGGATCAACTCGTCCCAGAAAGTCAGCACCGAGTACCTAATAAATTGCCAAATGTCAAAAGCTCACACGCGCTGGCATCCCGGGAGAGTCGTGGGAACCACTCAAGCCACCTCACCGCAGCCCGGCTGAAATTTGAGGCTGCAAAGCGCAGACTAACTCTGCCCCGCAAAGCAAATCCCCTGCCCCCGGACGAGCCCTAGCCTTAAGCCAAACCGCACAGGGCTGTGCTCAGCAGCTCACACGAGCCTTAAAAAAAAAAGTTCAAGGAAAAAGCGCGGGCGCCGCAGTCCCCACGCGGCCCTTTAGAGGGCACGAAGAAACGGCTTGCAATGGCTCCACCTCCTGGATCGGCGACTGCCAAGACTGTTTTACCGCCGCTCGAGGTTCTGGAAAGAACCACGGGCCCTAATGCCAAAAATCATGGGCAACCTCTCGACGCGCACTCGCCACGAGCCCTAGGGTCACCTCGAGCCCCTGGGACACCGCGAACCCCAGGGACTCCGTGAGGCCCAAGTTTACCGCTAGCCTCAGGGACACCACGACGCGCACGGTGACCTAAAGCCCCTGGGAGGCCGCGTGAGCCCCAAAGTCGCCTCCAGCCCCCGGGACACCGACAGCCACAGGGACGCCACCAACCCGGGAGACGATGGGAATCCCAGAGTCTCCTCAAGCCCCTGAGACGCC